TTTTTTTCAATGTACATATTGTATATCAATATTTAATAATATTTAATATCTGTGTATTATGTAACTACATGTCTGTATAAATATTGATAAAAATTATAAAAATTTAAGTAAAAAATTATTTACAAAAATGTGTATAAACGCAGAATCAGAACCATGGATATGTACCAATATATAAATTCACATAGAAATATATATATTTAAATGGTAAGATCCGCTTCGATCAAAAATAAATACTTCTTGTATTTAATTAGATTTATTCTTATCGATTCTTAATATATATTGTTTATAACTTTTTACTAAATTTTTTGAATACTTCCTTACTGTAGTATTTTAATTTGTAAATTTTGAGACACTCTGTACATACATTTTCCAGTCGCGCACTGATTGCACGGGCAATTAGCAAAAATTAATGCGTCGAGAAACAAGCTGCCGAGTTTACGACATACAGTGTTCGACTAGTAATTTAGCGTGTAGCGCGCGCTAATATGAATCACGTTTGTTGTACGTGCGCAATAATACGACCGCTGTTCTTGCCATACCTCACGCTCGGCGAGCAACCACGCGTTTCGCCTTTGTCCGTTAAAGACAATGAGATCGAATCGCGGTTTAATAAGGAGGTCGGCGAACGGCGCAGGGTTAGTGCGCCAAGAGGGAGAAACTTAACGTGATTAATGAGCGCAGCTATAAATCACGTCCGCTTGTTAGCGCCGGAAGACTTTTTCGCGCCAATCGCACTTGTAATGAAGGCGCTCGGTGCGATGCGTTTGAGCAGGAATTTCGGAAAGGCGCAACCTGGTGTGCATAATTCTTGCACGTACTCACGTGAAAATAATGGTGTCGACGATGACAGGAATGATTGTCGAGAGAACGACTGTAGTGCGATTTTATAATGGCGCGACTAGCGAGCGCCATCGTCGTTAAATAAAAACGAATAGAATTATAACAAAAGAAACAATTATAACTGAAGTAAAAAAAGCGCGAAAGTCTGATATAAGAAAAATATTCTTCTACAGAAGTGAGTAATATTTTTAATTTTTCTTCTTTACAGTGAAACATATGTCCATTAACATTATTCCAAGTATTGCAGTCATATGTTTTTTAATAACATTTTTCTAAATGAATCCACACACTGATAAAATAATATATTAATATCTTAATTTCAAACGCCAATTGTGAGCGGTGGATGAATTTTTTTAAAAAGTCAAAATCTAGTTTATTCCTAATTATTTAATATTTTATTCAAGCGTTAATTACCGCGCTATATTTATACTTGCCGCTTTCCTTCTAATATTTTATTCCATTTGTAATTTTTAAGTAATAAAAATTGCTACAGAAACACATATCTCACAAAGCATTGGTTTCTTCTGAATCATCCTACGATAGGGTTTCGTCCCAAAGGCACGACAAGACATTGACGTGCCTCATTAATTAAACCCCAAGGTACCACTTCCACGAAGTTTGCGGTAGCATAAACGTAAGAGAGAAAAGAAGAGAGGCAGAGAGAGAGAGAGAGAGAGAGAAAAAGAGAGGGAGGGGAGAGAGTGAGTGAGTGAAAGAGAGATGAGAGAAAAAGACGTAGCGTAGGTAAGACCAGGTCAGGGACTTTTCATCCGCCCTGACCTCACTCAACCTCGTCTCCGCCTCCAGCCAGCCAGTCAACCACCCCCGCCAATCTCCGCCGCCATCGTCGAGTGGTGCTCCACGTGTGCCATCCAGCAGCGTTACTCTCTGTGCGTACACTAAACAACATGTACGACTCGTAAAGTGCGCACGCGGGGCGGTGGTCCTGGTATCGGGACCGAGAGCGTCGTAAAACGTCCGTAATTATAGCGCGCCATACAACGCCATATTGCGAAAGATGATACCGGCAGGCGATGAAAATGCTCGCAGCTCCCGTGTGCGCACAGGAGATCGATAAACCCTGCTCCGCTTGCCAACGAGACCACTAAGCTCCGAGCACGTGGAGTAAATGACTCTTACCGGGGATGGGATATTCTGGAGGAATCTTCTTTGAAATAGATTAACAGATTATAGAACCGATGGGAATTGATGGAAAATAGAAATTCGGAATTACAACACAGAGGCAAGCTTCCGATTGGCAGATTATCGTCAAGTGAACATCACTTAAAGTCTGGTTTCACCAATGTAAGATCATATTTAACCGTGATTTAACTTTACTATTTTCTAATTCTTAGAATTGCGGGAGTTCGAGATCATAGGCGCCGAAATTTCTTCTGATACACCGCGCGATCGAAAATATGAATGAGATACGCGTTCGCTCGTATTTGTGTGTCGCATGATCTTGTGTGTCGGGCCCGAGTTTTCGACGCATACGCGTAACGTTAGCTAAAAATTAGAAAAGAATAAATTGATCCGAGATTAAAATTTTACTGAAGATTACAATTTTATTAATTATCAGAATCAGAAAAAAAAATGAAACGTAAATTAAACCGAGATTAAAATTTTATCCAAGATTCATTCAATGTAAAATTAATTTTAATGTTATTTGATTCTATATTGGTGGAATCGAGCCTTAGCAATTTGAAAATAAGTACAAGCCTATGAATTTTCTCGAGTCACTTCTAACACCGTTGCGCTCATTTCTACAAACTCTCACAACTGCCTTACATGTACAATAAATTTATCCATAAATCTTAAGCAAAGAAATATAAAATTGGAGATAGTCAAGATGGCTACCTCGCAATTGCGCGAGGTAACTTCGGTTCTCTCTTCACGTACAACCAAGCAGGCTGGTGAGCGATCTCTCTCTCGGTTTACCTGCATTCTCCATCGCTGAGTGCCAAGCAAATATCACCGTCATGGTACCTGCACGCGAAAACGCGCGATCGTGCGGTATTTACGAGTTTGTGCGAACCCGCGATTCGACGCGAATATAGAATATGAAAGTGATTCTCGCGGATCCGATCAAGAGCGGATGTCCAATCGAGCTTTGATCCATTTAACTAACACATCACGTCCCATCGAACTCACATTCGTTGCGTGCGACATGTTCCAATGCGCGAAAATTGTTCTTCGTGACCGCCGCTTCGTCATATAAAAAGTTCGATTTTTTTGTCTTTTTCTATCTCTTTACACATTTGTGTTTCAATCATAAACGTATATAAAAAATACCTCTCTTAATTTAGAAAAGAAATTTTTTTAACGTTTGATTATTAAATGACTAATATATGAGAGAATGTTAGTCGAATTATTAATTAAAAACACAAGATAACAATAACTACAATTTAAACAAAGAAAATAATTTCTTTATAAAATTACACGTATATATCGCTCTTTCACTTTAAGAGTGACAATTAAGAAAATTTTTAAAAGACTATTTCACGACACAAAAAAATTACTTTCACTTAACAAAAAAATATTGGCTAATTATTAAATAATGTCGGCGAAAGAAATACATTCTTTACATGATCAATT